TGCATCCGAAGTTCAACAACAAGCTCAAAGTCATGTCTAGAGTTGAACGCACGACAAACAGCGAGCGTCTCTTTTTCTTGAGCCAAAATAGTCAGGTGATACCTCATTGGGTCCAGCAGTCAACTACATACGTGTAACTACCTACTTTGTACTGCAAACAACGTGTTACTTCAACTGCGAGAGACCAGATTCCGGCCACCGCTGCAGGGAGTTCAGGAAGGGAGACTCGGGAACTCACAAGGCGGAGCTGCCCACCTCAGAATATCCCAGAACCTACTGCTCGGGAAAAAAGAGTCGACTGAATGGTGCTTCCCTGCTTTCGGGTCATGACTCCGCCAAAGCTCTGCTGACTCTCCATGCTAAACGCGATTCAAGTCTACGAAGGACCACCACCCTCTTAGACCTGCCTCAGTATGGACTCGAGACTCGGCACATCGGCTGCTTCCTGCTCACTCGTGCAGACACACGGAGGCACAGATAGATAGCAAGATATAGAAGACAGAACAAGCTGGACATCGAACGATGCAATTTGGGTTCGACGTGGGCCACAAGCCATAAATCGAAAATGACTATGACTCTTTACAGCTAAAGACACCTCACCTTCCCTCCTGCCTTATGAGTTTCACCATGTTCCGTGCAAGCACTGCGCAAGGACGAACAAACAACCCTATGTGGGTGGTTGTCAAAATTAGGGTCCCTTTTTGGGTACCCTAAATAATAGGTGCCGTATTATAATAAGGACCCCCAAAAGGGACCATAATTTTGACAACCACCCATGTGACAACGCAAGCCTTGCGCTGCCCGGGAGCGGGCTGGGCACTCTCTGTAAACATCACACACACACAGATAATTACCTACATTATTTTGGGGTTCCTTATTATATTTATAGTATCATGAACCCCAAAACCTTATTCTAATTATTGAGGTCACATTGCCGCTTGCTGCTCTTGAACTCTATGCTGAATCGATTTAACGTAGCACAAGTGCTTACCCTCTGCGCAGAAGTCCTCATCGCCCATTCGGCTGCCAGAAAGGCCTTAATGCGGACTCCTCCTAAACGTCTGCAACATGTATCTTATTGTATCTTTGAATTACTCAAATATCCTCCACCTTGGTCAGCCTCGTTTCGAAAACTGAGGTCTGCACATCTCCAGGCAGATGGGATCTAAAGAGCCGTCGTCAGATGAAACGCAACCCCAATAATACTGTCTTGTTTTCAACCTTGCTGCAAGGTACAACGCTGTTGCAGGTTAGAGGTGCTGTTTGGGAAGGCATGGCCCAAGCTAATTACGTTTTCGACGAATGCTGATACTCGCAGGTGTGAGTCTTGGCTCCGCCCTTGTTTGAGCTGGGCTTGCGCGCACATCCAGAATTGGCATCACGCGCGAAGATCGACAACTGACTGACACAAATGCCCACGCTGCTTGAATATCTTAAAATGAGGGGAAGTTGATACATGCGGGGCGAGCAAAATCCTTGACAGTCTGCCAGTGCTAGACTCTCTTATTTCCATAGTGGCGGGGCAGGCAGCATCGTGCGGCGGATTGAATGAAATATGCAGTGCTACAACTAGCGGAGCCGAGTCTGCATATACTTCCAGCAGAGATCGCTACTGATGCTCGCAGCCCGACTTCACTGGACAAGCGTGCCAGGATTCACCGGCTCCCCAGCGGGGCAAGAATCCAACATCAGAAGAGCGATCCCTGCCAGGTCTGGCAGGCTACTGGCAGGCTACTGGCAGGCTTGCACGATTGCCCCGGACTCCGCCCTGAGAACAGGCAGTAAAAGTTTTACACACCCTCCCGGCCTATGTGACCAAAGGCGATCGCATGCCAGAGGACAGAGTGTCCCGAGGCATCCTTCTGCCTTCCTCAGCTCCGTGCATGACCTACCGTGTCCACTATCCAGCCTTCGGATATGAAGCGGCCAACCCGAGCCCCAATGAGCGCCCCGCCGTTGCACTGGCCTTGTTGAATGAGACGAGTCACCAAAGCCTCATTGCCGATGTGGACCTTAGGTGTGCCGTCCCCTGCCGAGCTTCCTAGAATCTGCAACCTCGGCTCTGCAGAGCTGGGCCCCTGGCTGCATGCCAAAGCTCTGGCGACCCTGCAGCACTCGCCTGCATCTCGACCGGTTTCAGGATAGGCCGTTTGGCTCGGCATGCGACCGTGCAGTAGCTTGATGTTGCTTCGATCGGTCATCATGCGGGGTGTTTTCACTGAGTCACAGACAGGCATGCTCGGCTTTGGGTGAAGTCCGTTGCTGATGGCGGAGTCCTGTGCCGGTCAAGCAGGACTCCCAACCAAAAGGCATGAAACACAACACAAAAACAGCAACCAAAAGTAACCAGAAGACAACAGAATAAGGGAAGCACCAAGCAAAGCTGTAACAAAGTCAAGGGAGCGGGGAACCTTCTCCACATAGGCCTTGCTCGGCACTGCTTCTCGCTCCGGTGCCTGCCGCAGCCATCGCATGTGCAGTGCGAGCGATGTCCTACGCCTCGAAAGATCGAAAGCCTTTCAGTCTCAGCAAAGGCAAACTTAGGCACGGGGCTCCCATCGTTACCACGAGCCTGCATAGCCTGCAGCTGGCGCTGCCGAGAGAGCGCCTGCAGGCTCCAAAAAGAGGCAGCTCTCTCTGCAAAGGCAAAGGCGAGGATGCCCCCGAATGCACGCCTCCCGCTGGCTTTCGATGAAGCTGCTCAGCCCAGGACCCGCGAAAGTCACCTCCTTCCGTCGATCCATTAGGCTCGAATCGTGGGGTCAGCATGACGTTTGATGATGCCGCTCCGGCGCACGTTCGAAACACCATCTGAATCTGTGCTACGGTCACAGCATCTCCGAATTTCAACACTGCCTCTTCAAGGACGACTGACTTGCCACGCACTGCGCTGCCTGGCACGTCTTCGGACTTTCCGTTTTGATCGCAAAGACAGATCTGATCTGCTATCAAAAGTGATGGCAATGATGACGTGTGCTTTCAGGATCTGGTTGACTGAGGCGTCGGTGCGATGGCATACGAACACCGGAAAGGCTTTTGGACGCAGGGCACACAGGCGGCGGTCGCGTCAAGGATCCTCTTCGTCGCTTTCTACAGGGTCTTCCCAAGTTGTGGCGTACCACTTGATGAACTCGTTCAAGGAGACGCAGCCATCCGAGTTCGAGTCGACCTCCAGGATGACCTAAGCTCCGGTGAAAGAGAAAACACAAGTTCAAACTTGATCACAGAAACTGGGACTTCGGAAGTCCGAAGGGCTTTGTCGAAGTCTTCAGTAACCTCTCCTTGTTCGACGAGGCTGTCGTAGAGAGGCCGGAACTGCTCAATTGAGAGCTGTCCGGTTAACTCCTCCTTACATGCTCGGTCAACCGTGGAGCCATCTCTTGACAAGCAAACCCTTGCCGCCGTGATATGCCGGACATCTTACTCATCAGCTCAGAACTGCCGGATGAATTTGTGTGTGTGTGTGTGTGTGTGTGGCGAGCAGGCTCGCTGGATCCTGAGATCAAAGCCCTGAAACCAAACAGGCAACAGTCCCATGTCCAGGGCCCACATCTCGAGCAATTGAAGTCCCAGCTTGCTGCATCTTGATTTGGGACAGGAGTGTTTCACAAACTGCATGAAACCGTAAGGTCACAACGGTTCCTACATCCGACATATACAGAATAACACCCATCAAAGCAAGATTCTACAATGAGTGCATTCCGTGGTGCGTCTGCTTGGGGTGAAAGGCTGCTGTTTCGTGGGGCTTACGTATCAGAGTGAATTCTTGAGCGAGTTCCACTGTCAAGTCGTCGTGGGTTCTGGAACTCACTCGGAAATTCACTCTAGAACTCACTCCGTAATACGCAAGCCCCACGAGACGGCGGCTGGAATTCAGACCGAATCTCACTTTTAAAACAGACACGCTGTGGCATTCACTTTCCAACTCACGCCGAAACTCACTCTCAAACTCGAAACCAACGGTTGGCTGTCACACTGGTTTCGCCATGCGAACCGTGTGTTAATGCTCGCAACTCTCCCTGCTGCGCCCTGCTATACTTTGCTCTTCTGAAGCCAGGCATCGTCATACGCGCGGAAAAACTCGCCGACCTTAAATGAACCATGTCGAGGATCAGGTTTGAAGACACCAATCGAAACTGCCAAAAACCTCGGCAGAGCCTGCCCAAACCTTATCTCGACATCTGTGTCTTGCTGGGGAGCTCAGGATGTTGAAATCATGGCACAACCGCATCCCAGGGTACTATGCAGGCGCGAGACCTGGTGGATGTACTGCGAGTGTTGGTCGCTGGCATCATGCAGTAAATGCGAAAACCGGCCATCCTCCTGCGGACACGGAAAGACATGGAAAGACACACAGGATCTGACCTGGCTGAACTACTCAGCTTACACCTGAAGTGCTCGGAGCTGCTAGGATGGAGATGCGATCGTACTGCGAAGAGCTTTGGTAAAGCATATAGAGCATGGCTATGTAGCATGGTTCAATGGTTTGTAGTGTCGAGGTAGCGTGGCCAGGTATGATAGTACTAAGCCCTGCTATTACAGTACGTGGTACTTGGCATAGAGCAAGTCATCCCATGCTCCTGCCGCCAGCGCAGATACTCAGGAAAGTCGATATATCCGGAGCCATCTTTGTCCAACTCAGCGAAGGCCTATGAAGGCGCTATCGACTTCAAGGCCCAAGTTTCGCTCAGGCCACAAAGGTTCATCAGCCCTGCTCAGTCAAGCAATGCTAAAACAGCCCAAGCAAAAAAAAGAGCGTCCCACCCATCCCACCGCCAGCATGCTCGCATTCTGAAGCCTGCATAACCTGTCTTTCAGAGGTGTACGTTGTGGCCACTGTCACAAAGTACAAAGAGCCTCCCTGGCATCTCAATTGGCAGGGCAAAACGCCGGTGCCTGATCTAACTCTTCCTCGCTCAGGCAGTAGCCATTCACGTAGCACTTCTGCTGGAAGTCGAGGATGTCCATCCTCTCATGGGCAGTCAAATTGAAACCGGATGCAACATGAGACAGTCTCAACAAACTTTGACTGCCTGGCAAACATTAGCTGCAAGAGCATCGGACGGGAGCATCAGTCAACAGGCGGCACCACCACCGAAACAATCGATGCCGTGATTGGCGAACTTTAGAGATGGGAGCCCAAACACCAGAGCTCAGCAGAGAAGACTGCAAGTCAGAATGGCCTGGCACAGCCGCCTGTGCCCTGGAAGAACGACTTCTTCACTCGTTGGACGAACTCTTTCTCCTGTGATGAGCTTGCATAGGGCACCCGGTTGATTGACTCTGCTCTCCAGAAGAACTGATCGCCGAAAGTTGGAAAACTCGGCAACTACTGACCGTCAAGCATCTGTGATGTGACAGACTCTGGCCTTGATGCTCAGCCGCAAGGAGACTAGGCCGAAGGTTCGATGAGGTCTATGAGACTGGAGTCACTTAGTATCTTGCAACACGGGGGACGGGGGAAAGTGGTGCAAGCGCTCCACTGACGAGACGATTGGACATGACTCCGCTCCTCCGTCGACTTGAACTTCAGTCCCTTCTGGCGCTCGTCTTGCAGCTTCCACCATGCCAGGAACTCTGAGTATTCAATGCCACTGGACCTTGATTTCGTGGAAAGCTTCATCACTGGACAGCTGATGCGTGAACGACGATAAACCACGCTATCTTCATGTCGCGGATAGTCACCGCCCTCAGACTGCACTGATTCGCGGCGGAAGGCTCTCCAGACATGCGGACAAAAGCTGCCGCCATCTCGTCTTCCTGATCATGACTCATGGTCTCACCCGTCGCGTGCGGCACTCCGAACTTCTGCTGTAGAACTCAACATGCTACCTGTATGGATTCCTGTGCATACCTGACACATGTAGTTCAATAGCTTTCAGAATCTCACTGAGTTGCAGCTTCGTCTCGTCAATGTCTTCGCAAAACTCCTTGTCGCTGCACATGCGCTTGAATTGCTCGAAAGACATTCCTGAAGCAGCTCGGGGGCATGTGACCAACAAGCAGCTCCTGTAGCACCCATTCACCCCCGACCGTAGGCTGTGTAGGCATCCCTGACAGTCAAGGCACGACCATCGCTGGAGTATTGGTCGAAGACGATTTGACTTAGCGGCGCTGTAAGCCCGCGCTGAGTGTCAAAGTTCATGGCAGGAGGCGGCCGATCAGCACACAGGCCTTTTCCGTAACAGGCATGTACTGCACGCTTCTATCCATCTGTCTATCTAGCCAGCCAACTGTACGTCTCCATTCATCTTCTTTTGGTAGATATTGCAATACCTGGCCCAAACCGGAGGTTCCGTCTGGAATCAGCATGTCGCATGCCTACAACTTGACAGTTCAATTCCACTCGCATCGCCGCAGCTCGAGCCAACGACATCACGACGTTGACATGGCCCCAACATGCAGAACTGCTACATCTTGCAATGCATTCCGGCACGGTAGTACACCTGCACCAAGCTGGGTTGAGGAATCATGAACCTCGCCCGTTCAGCCCGTCCGTAGCATGTCCGCCCCCACGTTGTCTTGCTCCCGAGCACAATCCCGTCTTGGGCGCCCTCCATGTCCGCAGTGCTGGCCGGGCGGATACCGGGCCTCGTGTGGGGCTGAAGCTAGAAGGAGCAAGCAGAGGGTCTTCCGTGCCATCTTCAGAAGAGGTGTGGGACAAGTGAGTGTGTGTGTGCGTGTGTGTGATTGGTAGCATCAGGCGCACGACTTCGGCTGCATCCCGACACTCGTTTGCATCGCCCAGAAAAGCCTGATGTTCTTTTGGAGAATGCCAGACCCCATGACTCCAAGGCTGCCCACGGCGGCGTCGGCGAGCGTGAGCGAGCAACCGCTGCCTGTCGTCTCAATCTCTCTACACAATTACTGGAATTGCTAGAACAAACGTGTGTGCTGCCGTTCAGGACCTGGCTTCAGTATCTTCAGTTCATTCTCGGCTTCAAAACACAGTGGCTTTGCCACCTCTTTGAGATTTATGAAGGCTTCAGGGCTCCATGTAAGGCCGAATGCCCCGCCCATCCGACACTTACGCAAGGGCTTGCCCCACACCCCATAGGTAGCCGTCAGCCAAGCCGGTAGCCAAATATCAAGCCAAAAAATCCCGAAACCATATTCCCGAAATCCCAAGCCCAAAATCTCAGCCCAAAATCTCAAGCCCAAAATCCCCG